CGTAGGAAGAGAATTGAGAGTGATACGGCTTTTTGCCGCATGCAAAGTGCGCGGCAAATTTTGGCGCCCTAATTAATTATTCATAAGGGGTGTGGTCAATTAATTATTGCAATGTTATTGTTATTAGTAAGGTTATGGTATTAATATTTAAAAGTGAAACCTTGGAAAGAACGGTGTACTACTTTTGTTTTACCAAAAGAGTGCTGTGGGAGTCACAGGAAGGTCAGGCAAGCTCAAATAAGAAGAGCTGCTTCTACTACTACAAGCCATGCTGGTGTCTGATGCTGAGGGTGTGTCTGGCTTTAATTAATTAAAAATTGATTAACTTTAATATAAACGCCCCCTTGATGCAATTTTCGATTTTTGGTCCGGCCAAAACCGTAGCAACCGTACCGTCTGCTATGGCCCTGGTACATTACATGTATTATGTGTACATGGTGTTTTATGGTGTCATTTTATAGCTCATTAGACTGGTTGTCATTGTATTTACATGTAATTGGACTCGCCACGCTTGCGTAGGCGGGTACTAAGCAGTTGGGTTGTCATTCTGTCATTCTGTCCACACAGTTTAATTGATTTGTAAAAAAAATTATCTTTTTGTCTGAGCAGTCTAGAGCTCTATTTCTTCTTCTAGCAACAGATAAAGTTGCTTTCTTTCATCTAGTTATGCTCTTGTAGCATCCCGTGGCACCAAAAGCTGTGAACTGCTAAACCAGGGGACCTCTCTCCAGGTGAGAGCTTGTGTTTTACTCTACAGAGCCGAGATTTGCTTCAGAGGTAGAAAATCCCATCTAACGAAAAACAAAAAGAACGATTTTGTCCTAACTTTGTTGTTTGTGAGTTACAGTTGCTCAAAGTTTGTGATTTAGCCTCTTTGAGAATTTTTCAGGCGGCACTAGGGAAAGCAGGAGCAATCAAACTTTCTCAGTCTCTTTTAAATATCTAGAAAAATTTTCTATGCCGACTCTTTCTTGGAATAGAGCTTCAGATGCTAAAATAAATTTCAGCTTTTCTTCTTTCTCCTACCCATGTGTTGTTGACCACACCCATAGCTTATTTTAATTATCATTTTTTATATAAGTATGCAGTCAATAATAATCATTATTTTCAAATTGCTTAAAATATCACAGTACAAGTATTACATATCACTCAGATGAATTCCAGCAGGCGAGTCCATTGCACCATAGTGCTTCATTATCATTGTATTTGGTTTTTAGACTTGCCGCATAGGCGAGTATTAAGTACTTTGGTTGTCTGTCACCATGAATTTTTAATTAGATTTTTTAAAACCTTTTTTAATAAAAAAAGTAAGTGCTCTAGGCTCATACCTCTAAGTGCTCTAGCAGCTCTAGGGAGAAGAAGCTCACAAAGCAAGAGTGACAAAATTTTAAAATACAGCAGTTATGCTAACACTTTTGAGATAGATAAAACCACTTTCCAGTAGAAGACTACCTTGTTATGTGTAGAATTTCTTAATTCCTACTTGGTAGCAACTTATGCTCCAAACTTCATCCTGGCCATCCGACTTTGTGAAAGGTTGAGGCAGAAATGTGGTAGGATAGCAGTGCTAGTCTTTCAACTCTTTTAAATATATCTAGGCAGCAGTATTGTGCCATATTACTTGTCGTAAGCCACTCGTAAGAAGAAAAAACTTAAGCTTCTTCAGTCACATGTCATACTAAGGCCATTTTATTGGCAAAGAAACCATGCTTCTATTAATAATTGGCAAATTTTGCATGCTTGCATTGCTGCTTGCATTTGTTAATGCATAATTATTTGTTTGCTGTCTTATGCGTGATCTCTTAGGCAAATAAAAATCTATCAAGACTATAGTATCTGTGTCATGATAATAGGTGTTAGTTTTTAAAGCTCTTTTGATTTGAGTCGGTGCAAAACATGCACTATTAAAAGCAATGAATCATTGTCATTACCTCTATCATGCTGCATATTAGAGATGAAGCCCATGATTCATTGTTTTTCATAGTGCATGAATGCAAGAGCAACTGTGGCGAGTCCAAGCACCGTAGATGTCTCATTGCATTTGATTGTTTGCTGTATTGCTAGAAATATTTTTGGTTGATTTTTGTTCTGTGGAAATTAATGCTACCGATAGAAAACCTGTTTTATTCTGCACATGTTCAGTAGCATGTGAACGCAAATTGCCATCTACCAATTGCAAATTTTCCAATATTTTTAGCTAGTACAGTACTGAGTACTTTTTGCATTGTACAAACATTTCTTTTATAGTATGGAGCTACTTCTCTTCATGTTGCTGCAAGAGAAGGATATGATGAGGTTGTACAAATTTTATTGTCTGCAGGAGCTGATGTGAACCTCATAGATACAGTGAGTACATTTATAACCAGGAGAGAGCATACTTGTACATTTTAAAACTTATTATGACCTAAGTCCCCAGGCTGTTCTGGTTCCTAAGATTGTTTTCACCCACCATGCAATATTTTATAATTATAATCTGTATGTTTACACTTACAT